AATCTTACTTCACCAAATGACAATCCAAGCGCTACCCAAAGATACCTATGTTTTACTTCAAGTTTTCTAAATGTCATAAAAGAAACATTTTTTTTAATGATTTAACAAAAGTCATGGAGAATCGGGAAATTGTTGAAGCGTTGTCCAAGTCTTGCCATGGATCAGGAGTACATTTTAGTGTCTGCACAACGATTGATGTCCAAGTCTTGCCATAGATCAGGAGTACATTTTAGTGTCTGCACAACAATTTCTCCACTGATTCTAACTTCTACCATATTACGTAGTACAGAAATACGTTCGATTGCAATCTTACTTCACCAAATGATAATCCAAGCGCTACCCGAAGGTACCTCTGTATTACTTCAAGTTTTCTAAATGTCATAAAAGAAACATTTTTTTTATGATTTAACAAAAGTCATGGAGAATCGGGAAATTGTTGAAGCGTTGAGAATTTTTGAATCGCAGTTACATGATATTGATGAGTTTTTCGATTACTACTGCATCTTTCCTGAATTTTCATACGAGGTAAAGAGATCCAACAAGAAGATGAAAATATCACGGTGCTTGTCAAATTTACGGAATTCGAAGACCATGAACAACTAAACTAAAGGGTATGTTGGAGATGTTGTCTAAGTTAGCTGAGTTTGTTGAATTGCCAATCAGGAGGTATGGTAAGTGAAAGCTTTGGCAAGAAGCAGTGATTTTGGTGGAAAGAACATAATTGAAAATACCATAGCTCATGTCATACCAAATGTGGAAGACATGTTTAAAAAGTTGGGAAGAAAAAAGAACTCAAAGCAATTAATTTGCTCAGGGTAGCAACCCCTCAGGCAATTGAAGGACCTAACGAAGACACGGTTAATTTTTTCTATAGATCTAGGAAACCAGAAGATAAAAGATTTTTGGAAAGTCAATAACGACGCCTGCAAAGGTGAAAGAGAACAAAGCGAACAGTATAAATAATGTTCGCTTTCACCTTTCCAGGCGTCAGTTGTTGACTTTCCGAAAATCTTTTATCTTCTGGTTTCCCAGATCGACAAAAAAAATTAATTGTGCCTTCATTAAGTCCTTCAATTGCCTGGAGGGTTGCTACCTGAGCAAACTAATTGTTCTGAGTTTCTTTTCTCTTCCCAACTTTTTTAACATGTTTTCCACATTTGGTACGGGATAAGCTATGGTATTTTCAATTATGTTCTCTCCACCAAAATCACTGCTTCCTGCCAAAGCTTTCACTTGCCATTTACCTACTGATGTTGCATAACTCACAGCAACATCACAATAAGCAGATTAAAAATGAGAACGTGTTTTTGTATTTGAGAGTTCATACTAATATCCGCCTGCAGAAAAATCTTTGTATTTGAGAGTTCATACTAATAAGCATCCCATCATAAGGCAAACGCTTTGCTGCAAACTCATTTCTTAAGGAATATTCTCTGTCCAAGTCTTGCCATGGATCAGGAGTACATTTTAGTGTCTGCACAATGATTGATGTCCAAGTCTTGCCATAGATCAGGAGTACATTTTAGTGTCTGCACAACGATTGCTCCACTGATTCTAACTTCTACCATATTATATAGTACAGAAATACGTTCGATTGCAATCTTACTTCACCAAATGACAATCCAAGCGCTACCCAAAGATACCTCTGTTTTACTTCAAGTTTTCTAAATGTCATAAAAGAAACTTTTTTTTTTATGATTTAACAAAATTCATGGAGAATCGGAAAATTGTTGAAGCGTTGTCCAAGTCTTGCCATGGATCAGGAGTACATTTTAGTGTCTGCACAACCATTGATGTCCAAGTCTTGCCATAGATCAGGAGTACATTTTAGTGTCTGCAAACCGATTGCTCCACTGATTTTAACTTCTACCATATTACGTAGTACAGAAATACGTTCGATTGCAATCTTACTTCACCAAATGACAACCCAAGCGCTACCCGAAGATACCTCTGTTTTACTTCAAGTTTTCTAAATGTCATAAAAGAAACATTTTTTTTATGATTTAACAAAAGTCACGGAGAATCGGGAAATTGTTGAAGCGTTGAGAATTTTTGAATCGCAGTTACATGATATTGATGAGTTTTTCGATTACTACTGCATCTTTCCTGAATTTTCATACGAGGTAAAGAGATCCAACAAGAAGATGAAAATATCACGGTGTTTGTCAAATTTACGGAATTCGAAGACCATGAAAAACTAAACTAAGGGGCATGTTGGAGATGTTGTCTATGTTAGCTGAGTTTGTTAAATTGCCAATCAGGAGGTATGGCAAGTGAAAGCTTTGGCAAGAAGCAGTGATTTTGGTGGAAAGAACATAATTGAAAATACCATAGCTCATCTCATACCAAATGTGGAAGACATGTTAAAAAAGTTGGGAAGAAAAAAGAACTCAAAGCAATTAATTTGCTCAGGGTAGCAACCCCTCACGCAATTGAAGGACCTAACCAAGACATGGTTAATTTTTTCTGTAGATCTAGGAAACCAGAAGATAAAAGATTTTTGGAAAGTCAACAACGACGCCTGCAAAGGTGAAATCGGACAGTATAAATAATGTTCGTTTTCACCTTTCCAGGCGTCAGTTGTTGACTTTCCGAAAATCTTTTATCTTCTGATTTCCCTGATCGACAAAAACAAATTAACTGTGCCTTCAGTAAGTCCTTCAATCGCTTAGAGGGTTGCTACCTGAGCAAACTAATTGTTCTGAGTTACTTTTTTCTTCCCAACGTTTTTAACATGTCTTCCACATTTGGTACGAGATAAGCTATGGTATTGTTAATTATGTTCTCTCCACCAAAATCACTGCTTCCTGCCAAAGCTTTCACTTGTCATTTACCTACTGATGTTGCATAACTCACAGCAACATCACAATAAGCAGATTAAAAATGAGAACGTGTTTTTGTATTTGAGAGTTCATACTAATATCCGCCTGCAGAAAAACCTTTGTATTTGAGAGTTCATACTAATAAGCATCCCATCATAAGGCAAATGCTTTGCTGCAAACTCATTTCTTAAGGAATATTCTCTGTCCAAGTCTTGCCATGGATCAGGAGTACATTTTAGTGTTTGCACAACGATTGATGTCCAAGTCTTGCCATAGATCAGGAGTACATTTTAGTGTCTGCACAACGATTGCTCCACTGATTCTAACTTCTACCATATTACGTTGTACAGAAATACGTTCGATTGCAATCTTACTTCACCAAATGACAATCCAAGCGCTACCCAAAGATACCTCTGTTTTACTTCAAGTTTTCTAAATGTCATAAAAGAAACACTTTTTTTTATGATTTAACAAAAGTCATGGAGAATCGGGAAATTGTTGAAGCGTTGTCCAAGTCTTGCCATGGATCAGGAGTACATTTTAGTGTCTGCACAACCATTGATGTCCAAGTCTTGCCATAGATCAGGAGTACATTTTAGTGTCTGCACAACGATTGCTCCACTGATTCTAACTTCTACCATATTACGTAGTACAGAAATACGTTCGATTGCAATCTTACTTCACCAAATGACAATCCAAGCGCTACCCGAAGATACCTCTGTTTTACTTCAAGTTTTCTAAATGTCATAAAAGAAACATTTTTTTTTATGATTTAACAAAAGTCATGGAGAATCGGGAAATTGTTGAAGTGTTGAGAATTTTTGAATCGCAGTTACATGATATTGATGAGTTTTTTGATTGCTACTGCATCTTTCCTGAATTTTCATACGAGGTAAAGAGATCCAACAAGAAGATGAAAATATCACGGTGCTTGTCAAATTTACGGAATTCGAAGACCATGAACAACTAAACTAAGGGGCATGTTGGAGATGTTGTCTAAGTTAGCTGAGTTTGTTGAATTGCCAATCAGGAGGTATGGCAAGTGAAAGCTTTGGCAAGAAGCAGTGATTTTGGTGGAAAGAACATAATTGAAAATACCATAGCTCATCTCATACCAAATGTGAGACATGTTAAAAAAGTTGGGAAGAAAAAAGAACTCAAAGCAATTAATTTGCTCATGGTAGCAACCCTTCAGGCAATTGAAGGATCTAACGAAGACACGGTTAATTGTTTCTGTAGATCTAGGAAACCAGAAGATAAAAGATTTTTGGAAAGTCAACAACGACGCCTGCAAAGGTGAAAGCGAACATTATAAATACCTTCATCTTTTCTCTATAGTTATTAGGGAATGAGCATATCCTCTTTTCTTTATTAGGGATTTATTTATTAGGGATGCTATTTGCCGCAGACTTTGATGGGGATCAAATGGCTGTTCATGTGCCTTTATCTTTGGAGGCTCAAGCAGAAGCTCATTTACTTATGTTTTCTACTACGAATCTCTTGTCTCCGACTATTGGGGATCCTATTTCTGTACCAACTCAAGATATGCTTATTGGACTTTATGTATTAACTAGCGGAAATCGTCGAGGTATTTGTGCAAACAGGTATAATTGGTTTAATTGCAAAAATTCTCAAAATGAAAAAATGAGCAATAATAACTTTCAGAACTTGAAGTATATGAAAAAAAAAAGAACCCTGTTTTTGCAATTCCTATGATGCAATTGGAGCTTATAGACAGAAAAGAATAAATTTGGATAGTCCTTTTTGGCTCCGGTGGCAAATACATCAATGCATTATGTCTTCAAGAGAAGTTCCTATTGAAGTTCACTATGAATCTTTTGGTACCTATTATGAGATTTATGAGGATTATTTAGTAATAAGAAGTATAAAAAAAGAAACTCGTTGTATATACATTCGAACCACTATTGGTCATATTTCTTTTTATCGAGAAATTGAAGAAGCTATACAAGGTTTTTCTCGAGCCGATTCATCATATAGTATCTAATCATATAGATGGTTAGTGTTGGTATCCACGCTAAGTAAATTTAGGATACTGGTGTAAATTCAGGTCAACTAGCATCTTTTCAATTTTCTACGTAAATAAACATAAAGAAAAGGGAGTTTTCCAATCATTCACTCAAATCTATTGTCGTCGAACCGAATACCACTGAGTGGAATATGGAGGGACTTATGGCAGAAGGGACCAATCTAGTCTTTCACAATAACGTGATAGGTGGAACTGCCATTAAACGACTTATTAGCAGATTAATAGATTATTTCGGAATGGCATATACATCACACATCCTGGATCAAGTAAAGACTCTAGGATTCCATCAAGCTACTGCTACATCTATTTCATTAGGAATTGATGATCTTTTAACAATACCTTCTAAAGGATGGCTAGTCCAAGATGCTGAATAACAAAGTTCTGTTTTGGAAAAACATAATCGTTATGGGAATGTCCATGTGGTAGAAAAATTACGCCAATCCATTGAAATATAGTATGCTACAAGCGAATATTTGCGACAACAAATGACTCCCAATTTTAGGATGACTGACCCCTTTAATCCAGTCCATATAATGTATTTTTCAGGAGCTAGAGGAAATGCATCTCAAGTACACCAATTAGTCGGAATGAGAGGATTAATGTCAGATCCACAAGGACAAATGATTGATTTACCCATTCAAAGCAATTTTCGTGAAGGACTGTCTTTAACAGAATATATAATTTCTTGCTACGGAGCCCGTAAAGGGGTTGTAGATACTGTTGTACGAACATCAGATGTTGGATATCTTACACGTCGACTTGTTGAAGTGGTTCAACACATTGTTGTACGGCGAACAGATTGCGGTACCATTCGTGGGATTTCTGTAAACATCCGAAATGGAATGATGCCAGAAAGAATTTTGATACAAACATTAAATGGTCGTGTAGTAGCAGACAATATATATATAGGTTCACGGTGCATTGTCGTTAGAAATCAAGATATTGGAATTGGACTTATCAATCGATTCATAACTTTTCAAACACAACCCATATTTATTCGAACCCCCTTTACCTGTAGGAATACGTCGTGGATCTGCCGATTGTGTTATGGGCGGAGTCCTATTCATGGGGACCAGGTAGAATTGGGAGAAGCTGTAGGCATTATTGCTGGTCAATCTATTGGAGAACCGGGAACTCAACTAACATTAAGAACTTTTCATATTGGTGGAGTATTCACAGGGGGTACTGCTGAATATGTGCGAGCCCCCTCGAATGGAATGAGGATTTAGTTCACCCTACACGTACACGTCATGGATATCCTGCTTTTATATGTAATATAGACTTGTATGTAACTATAGAAAGTTACGATATTATACATAACGTCATTATTCCACCAAAAAGTTTTCTATTAGTTAAAAATGATCAATATGTAAAATCAGAACAAGTGATTGCAGAGATCCTCGCAGGAACATATACTTTTAATTTGAAAGAGAGGGTTCGAAAACATATTTATTCTGACTCAGAAGGGGAAATGCATTGGAGTACCGATGTGTACATGCATCAGAATTTATGGATAGTAATGTACATATCTTACCAAAAACAAGTCATTTATGGATATTGTCAGGAAAGTCGTGCAGGTCTAATACAACCCATTTTTTACTTCACAAGGATCAAGATCAAATTACCATGGATTCACTTTCGAATGGAAAAAAAAAATATTTCGAATCTTGTAGAAAGGAATAATCAAGTAAAACATAAATTCTTTGGTTTCCATACTTTTGGTACAAAAGAAAAGGGGATCAGCGATTATTCAATATTTAATCCAATCATATATATGAATCATTCTTATTTAATGTATCCCACTATTTTTCACGATACTTTTTATTTCTTAACGAAAAGGCGAAGAAATCGATTTCTTATTCCATTTCCATTCCAATCGATTCAAGAACGAAAGAACGAACTAATGTCCCCTTCCGGTGTCTCCATTGAAATACCTATCAATGGTATTTTTCCTAGAAATAGTATTTTTGCTTATTTCGATCATCCTCAACCCATTTTTCAAAAAGAAGATTTCATTGAGTATCGAGGAAGAAAAAAATTAAAGCCAAACTATCCAATTCAAGTAGGTCCCTTTTTTTTTATTCCCGAAGAAGTGCATATTTTACCCCAATCTTCTTCCCTAATGGTACGGAATAATAGTCTTGTTGGAAGAGGAACACCAATCACTTTCAAGAATCGAGGATCCATAAGGAGTGCTTATAAACTCGAACAATAAAGAACGAGTGTATAACAAAAATTATCGGCATTCCTTGGGGATTCTTGATTGGTGCTGAGCTAACTATAGCTCAAAGTCGTATTTCTTTGGTTAATAAAATCCAAAAGGTTTATCGATCCCAGGGAGTACACATCGATAATAGACATATCGAGATTATTGTGCGTCAAATAACATCCAAAGTCTTGGTTTCAGAAGATGGAATGTCTAATGTATTTTTACCTGGCGAACTAATTGGATTATTGCGAGCAGAACGAACGGGGCGTGCCTTGGAAGAAGCCATTTGTTACCGAGCTTTATTATTGGGAGTAACAAAAACATCTCTGAATACTCAAAGTTTCATATCCGAAGCGAGTTTTCAAGAAACTGCTAGAGTTTTAGCAAAAGCCGCTCTTCGGGGTCGTATTGATTGGTTGAAAGGTCTTAAAGAGAATGTTGTTTTAGGGGGAATGATACCCGTTGGTACCGGATTCAAAAGAATAATGCACCATTCACGGTCAAGGCAACATAACAAGATTAGCCGGGAAAAAAAAATTATTCGAAGTCGAAATTAGAAATCTTTTGTTCCATCACAGAAAATTATTTAATTTTTCTCATTTCAGAGAATTTATGTGATACATTCGAAATATAGGATTAAATATAGTATTAAATGCTTCCTAACAACGGATTCGACTCATCCATCCCCTGAAATATTTAAATGCAGTCATTGGATTTGGTAATTAAAGTATATTAAAAAATAATAAGAAATAGAAATCAAAGAATGGCCTGATTCTATATTAACGGCCGATCGTCTATAAAAGAGAAGGTTCCATCGGAACAATTATTTATTAGGATACTCGGTCTCTCTTTTTTTTTTCTTCATTTTTTTAAACAAAGTGTGGGGATAAATGACAAAAATATATTGGAACATAACTTTGGAAGAGATGTTGAAAGCTGGGGTTCATTTTGGCCATGAGACTAGGAAATGGAATCCTCGAATGGCACCTTTTATATCGGCAAAACGTAAAGGTAATCATATTACAAATCTTACTAAAACTGCTCGTTTTTTATCAGAAGCTTGTGATTTGGCTTTTAATGCAGCAAGCAAAGGAAAACAATTTTTAATTGTTGGTACCAAAAGAAAAGTTGCCTATTCAGTAAGACGGGCTGCAATAAGAGCTCGATGTCATTATGTTAATAAAAAATGGCTCGGAGGTATGTTAACGAATTGGTATACTACAGAAACGAGACTTCGTAAGTTCAGGGACTTGAGAACGGAGCAAAAGACGGGGAAACTGAACTCTCTTCCAAAAAGAGATGCCGCTATGTTGAAGAGGCAATTATCTCATTTGGAAACATATCTAGGCGGTATAAAATATATGACAGGGTTACCTGATATTGTAATAATCCTTGATCAGGAAGAAGAATATAAGGCTCTTCAAGAATGTATCACTTTGGGAATTCCAACGATTTGTGTAATCGATACAAATTGTGACCCCGATCTTGCGGATTTGCCGATTCCGGCTAATGATGATACTATGGCTTCCATCGGATTCATTCTTAACAAATTAGTTTTTGCAATTTGTGAGGGTCGTTCTAGCTAGATACAAAATTATTGATTAATAATAAGATAAATCCATTTTTAGATTTGGTTGGGCGGTGATAAATTTTTGGAATTGGTTATTATAGCATTACAAAATTGCGTAAAAAGAAATATTTTTGGATTAGTAGGAATTCCAAATGGAAAATCCAAGTAAAATAAGGAAATGGTTGAATCAAAATAATTCCCTTTCAAGTTATCTTTTTTTATTTTATAGGGCAATATGAATGTTCTATTATGTTACATCAACACATTAAACAGATTCTATGATATATCTGCTGTGGAAGTAGGTCAACATTTCTATTGGCAAATAGGGGATTTTCAAGTGCATGCTCAAGTACTTATTACCTCTTGGGTTGTAATTGTTATCTTATTAATTTCAACCATTCTAGTTGTTAGAAATTCACAAACTATTCCCACGTCTGGTCAGAATTTCTTTGAATATGTCCTTGAATTCATTTGAGACGTGAGCAAAACTCAGATTGGAGAAGAATATGGTCCATGGGTTCCGTTTATTGGAACTTTGTTTCTATTTATTTTTGTTTCGAATTGGTCAGGGGCACTTTTGCCTTGGAAAATTATAAAGTTACCTCATGGAGAGTTAGCTGCACCCACAAATGATATAAATACTACTGTTGCATTAGCTTTACTTACGTCAGTAGCCTATTTCTATGCGGGTATTTCAAAAAAAGGATTGGCCTATTTTGGTAAATACATCCAACCAACGTCAATCCTTTTACCGATTAACATCTTAGAAGATTTCACAAAACCCTTATCGCTTAGTTTTCGACTTTTCGGAAATATATTAGCGGATGAATTAGTAGTGGTTGTTCTTGTTTCGTTAGTACCTTTAGTAGTTCCTATCCCTGTTATGTTCCTTGGATTATTTACAAGCGGTATTCAAGCTCTTATTTTCGCTACTTTAGCTGCGGCGTATATAGGTGAATCCATGGAAGGGCATCATTGACTAGTTATCTAAATAGGATTTTAGACCGCGACTGGCTCGCGATAATCTACTTAAGGAACATTAATAAAATTAAGGAACATAAATCAAAAAATCCAAAAGAAATTATGAAAAGTTTTCATAACAATCAAAAAGTATAAAGAAAATGAAAACACTTACCAGGAAATTCAACAAAAAATAGAAATTCAATTAAAATAAAGGGTGGGGGGTCGAACTAGGCATATATATAATCTAATCGTTATAAAACAGCTGGGGGATTTCCGAGAATGATTCAATGAATCGAAGATACAATGAATTGGTTTACGATAGGGAACAAACACATGTATATGTCATAGTAGATATTCATTAGTTATATATGACTATATATCTCAATTTGTCTTGCTACTACTCTAAATTTAGGTAGGGATTCAAAAAAAAGAGCTCTTCCATCTCTTGGAATTGTGAATGGAATATAAAATGACTGGAAAAATGAAATCAAAAAGAAAAAGAAAGGTTTAAACGAAATGTAAGATAAGACCCCAATTTGTATGTATTCACAAAAAACGACAAGGGTAGAAACGAAAAAAGTAAATATCGAAGTAATTGAGATAATTCAATCCAAATTCATCAGTTTGAAATT